CGCCGAGTCTTGCAACCTTTCGCAAGTTGGGCAGATTCTGATTCCGAACTTCGGGATTGAATTCATACCATTATTACTAGAATATTCTTACTACTGTTGTTAGTATTAGAGGATGATCAAGGATAGGCTCGCAAGGAACCTTGCTGGAGGCAGCACAACGCTTGACGTGGTGGCAGCACAGCCTTTTGAGCAACATACTGCGAATTGGTAGGTTCCCAAATGAGGGGTCCCCAATATACTATAGTCCTTATTATAGGGACCCCCACGGGAAACCTTCATTTTGGGAAACCCCGCAAGTACTGCAAGGCTTCCAACCTAAACACCAAACCCGTGGCCTGCAGCCCGAGTAGAAGCTTACGTTCAGGGCTATAAAAGGTTGAGGTGAGATAATCAGTATGATTACTAGTATAAATGTTACTACTACTATCATTGTTACTACTGTTATTATGAATATTAACACTCCCTACTAATTATTAATACTGTTGTGGATTGATACTGTTGTGGATTTAGGGTTTGGGGTCATTGCGGATGATACGTGGTCATGCTGCACTAGCTGTCTCTTGCATCGGTGATGGTAGATAAGGGAGGATGCTGTGCCTTGGTAACTTAACTAGGGTTTAGGGTTCAAATTAACGGTATCAGAACTGGCAAACATGATGGGCCTCAACACCCGCAGCAATTTATCAGACAGGCGCGCCAATTGAGAGTCTGTACCCTAAACCCAGACCTCACAGCAAGGGCCTAAATAAATCCGCAAGCCCAATGCCCCACATGGGCCGCCATATGGGTTCAGCTCACCAAACAAGCAATTTCCAAGCCCTTGGCTCAACAACTCCTAGCCCTAAATGCGCAGACTCCACAAAGAGTACTGCAGATTAAAGCAATAAACCCCACACCTGAAAATCTATAGTCCCCCTTAAGTAGATAGAATAAGGCTTTGGGTATATTATGATAAGATCCCCATATACCCCATATTCTATCTACTTAAGGGGGACTATAGATCATAAAGCTTGAGCCCTAGAGCCGAAAGCCCCCGAGAGCCCTGCGTTGTAGGTGACCGACTCGGAGACTTGCTCAAAGATGTAGCCTAACCTCAGAACTACACGGAAAGACGCCGCGAATCACCACTGCATGGTAGATCTAAGGAATCAAAGGCTTCAACCGTTCCTATAACCTGAGCGTTTTCTTAGCCACTTGGACCTCCGCAGCGTGCCTCGACATGGTCACTCTTTTATGGCTCCATGTTGTGCTTGTTGTCATCATGGTTGTTGTCCTTGTCGGAGTCATTGGTGGCGTTGTCGTCGGTACCGTCATCGGGTCTCGTTGTCGGCATCGTCATTCGCATTTGCGCCGTCCTCATTGTCGTCATCGCCCCCGCTGTCTTCGTCGTCCTCATCTTTGATTTTGCTTTTGCTTTGCTCTGGTTATGCCTTCTGGTGTCAACTCTCGGTTGCGCAGGCTTTGCCAGCAATTGTTTGTAGAACCATGGTCTCGCGCACACGCAGCAGCTCCTCACGTTGCGAGGCATCCAGGACAAATCAGCAGGGATGACATCGATAGCCACTCTTTCTAAAGAGTGTGTATACAGCTCAAGAGCTCCGCCGATCAAGGGGTCCTGAAATTCTCAACAGGCAATCTTTCTTACTGGGTGCGAGGTTCTCTCCTTAGGGGTAAGTTGTGAGGCGATCGCTACGTCACTTTGCAGTCGCGCTGTTGCCCAGTAGACTGCACCGGCCCCGAGCCTTGCTTTTGATGGCTTTCCCGGTGAAGAAAACATGCCCGGTGAAGAAAACCAGAAACCCATGCCAAACCCTAACGCAAAACATTGAAAACCCTGACTAGGCCCCACAAGGCCTGTAAACCCTGAAGCATTCAGGAAAGGCGGCCCCAGCTGAGAGTACGGCAGCTGGACCAGCGCGTCCGCCTATGATATCGATGCATGGGGGTGCCGTGCTAAAATCTGGAGACCTTGTCATGCAAAAAATGGTTCAAGGAAGCAACAGGAAGCAGACAATCAACATCTTTGATCTGCGCGCCAAGTCAAAGTGTTGCAAATTTGGGTGTCGCAAGTTGTTGATCCACGTTTCACCCAAAAAGCCCAGGGGCGTTGGGCCCTGCACCCTACACCCCAGTATATCTATGCTGGGGAAGGAGCCCAAAACATCAGACCGTTTGCTGGATCCTTTAAAGATCGCAGTCATGGTCACACCCAAGACTGCTCGGTGCCAAGCAAAAAAACTCAGGTGAGCAGTGGCAAAAACCCTTTGAACCTTTTGTTCTCGTATCAGTCACTATCGCGGTGCTGAAAACAATATGCTTTCTAGTTCCTTATACCAAAAAAAAACGGAAAAGACATCCAAAGGGGATAGGATCCTGAACCCAAAACGGGCAAGACAAGTAGATGCTATCTGGGCCCCTGGCTGTGGTGACTGCTAACTGCGGCAAGTCTGAGCCACCTCAGGCTTGCCTTTGTTTGGCTAAGAATGAAGGATCCTTTCTTTTTATAGTAGTCTGAATATAACCCATTCTAGTAGTTTCCAATTTCTTTTCCATTCCTTCATCCCCAGCTAACCAAAGGCAAACAAGTGGAGCAGACCTCTAGGCTTAGTGGTCTTCTGGCTTTGAGGAGCGGAAGCCCTCAACCACTAACCCCCTCGAAAACAGGCATCTGTTTCGGATGATAATTAGCATGTAGGGGAATGTAGGGCCTTTGGGTGTTGGGACTGTTGTTGACACCGCTCAAGGAACAGTAATTGATGGAAAGTCGGTAACTTCAGAAACGATTGTGACGAGGCTCCAACAAACTGCCCACATGAGCATGCATCAACCAAAAGAAGTCATGACCTCGCACGCGCCCACAACAAGCAACTCCTTTATAGAGAGGTGGTGCAAAAGGCTGGCCATGTCCCAGTCAGCCCTGCTGTTCCTTGCTTCCCAAGACCTTCTCTGCAGCGGAAACCATTTTTTTCAGGATCTGCCCGCGTTACCATTACAGTCTACAGCCCCCGCAAGCTCAGAGTCCTGTGTAGGACCCTTACTGAGTAATGCTGCTACAGCTATGCTTCGGCTATGTTATCACGAAAGTGTTGTATCCAACCTGCGTGGCTGTCAGCAACAAGCTGGACAAGCTTGGCTCTGGGAATCTCCTTGTCGCTCCACCTGCGCAGGCGGCACAAAGGAGCTCGTGGTCTACATTAATTCTCTCTGATCTCTGCATTCCCTTCATAATCTCTATGGCACCGCCTAGGGGCTCCCACGTTTGATAGCACAATACCTTTGAAACAGCAGCAGCCATAATCCTCCCAAAGATGCTTCAGGTACGTGGGATTCGTGATGGAAAACTTTTCAAAATTGTGTAGCCACCTTGTAAACCCAGTCAACACCAGGACGGCAAGTTCGTCTTGCCAATGCAAAGTGGATAATAAGCCTGAGGAAGGAACAAATGAAGATGTGCTAGTCAGGAAGCGAGAAATCAAAGCTTTCCTCTATTGGGAAAAGGGTCCCGCATGCAGCTTTGCGGGTCTGATGTCCTGGCATGGGTCTTCGTCAGGGCACCTTATGACCCGGAAAGCATTGCCTGTTTGGACGTTTAGAGGTCCAGTAAACATGCGCTGATGAATGGTAGCACTAGCGCCTGGACACGGTACAGGCTAGGGCTAGGTTTCTAGAGTAACAGCAACAGGAAGAATACTAGTACTAGTACTAGTAGTAATAGTAGTAGTAGGAGGAGGAAGAGGAGGAGGAGAAATAACAGTAAGAGGTAATAATGATAGTAGTAATAGTAGTAGAGTGGCGACCTGAGAGTCCTTTCTACTGCCCTACTTGCCCTTGTCTTGCATTTACCAAATAGGCATGCCTTGTACTAATTCGTCTTTTCTCGCTTGTGCAGGCTGAGGTGCTTTCTCAGTTGTGCTTGGCAGGCTGAGGATCACCGAGCTCGAGCGAGAAAGAGGTTTCTCAAAACGGGTGGGCCATAGGAACCCTTGTTAACATTAAGAGCTTCTATCTGGCAAGTTTGAGAAACTCCCGTGAGATGACGACTGGTTCTCTCTGCTGGCTCTTGCAATGATGCGACTCCGTTGAGACCCCTTTGTACTCAGAAAAACCTTGTCTAAGCGGTTACATTCCCGAGTGCCTAACATTTGCCTGTCCTTATATCTGGCCCTTGAAAGTATTGCAAATCAATTCCCGCGTCTTGAGAACCAGGAGTTTGCCGCCATCAACGGTGCACACCGTGCATTTGCACGAATAGGTTGTGCAGTCGAATTCGCTTGCTTGCTCTTATCAGCATTGCATACTGGTCAAACATCTCCGAACCACGCTGCCGCCGGAAACATTGCATTTGCATGCAGTTCTCATATGTTCTACTGATGCCCAGCAGACAAAGTGCATCCGCTGACAACAGAAAGAATCCCTATGTATCACCCCCTAAACCCAAAACCCGAAGCCCTATATAGTGGTTTTTCTATTATTCCTATATAACCCCTATATACTACATAGTAGTTTCCATTTTATTTTCCACTATCCCTATATAGACCTTATATAACCCCTGTAAAAGTCAGGGGACACTAATGCTTCCAGGATGAGGGGGCTTTGTGCGTCGGAAGAGCTTGATGAAACGCCAGACAAGTGGCCACTTAGGATCTGGCACTGTGCCCGTCAACACCACATAAGCTCAGTTTCTCAGATTTTCTGGAGGACCTCAATCTACATTGGGGAGATTTAGAAATTGCGGGAGATCTCCATTAGAGAGTTTGGGCTAGACTGTGTCAATGCCTTTGGCATCGAACCCATTATGTAGCCTGTGCCTGTACGCTGAGAATTGTGGCTTTGCGCAAGCGCTGTACCCCTGCATGGGGATCCTCCTAACCAAGATGCGAAGACATACATCGAGACCCCACTCTCGGCACACGCGCCATTGGCTGCTTGCACAAGGGACGAACCGTTTTGGGTCGTCCTCAGCCTAAGCTTACTTTGAATTCCGAATTCACAAGCCCACCTCAATCTTGGCAGCCAGCTTTTGCATCGCTAGCCTCCTCTTGAAGAAGCGACTCAAGCCGCGTCTGTATGTCATCGGCAAACTTCCGGATGCAGCAAAAGCATATGTCCCCTGACCTGGATTTCACATTACACTACATTAAAGCGAGGCTTGTACCCCAACAAAAAATGCAGGACCCCCCTTGTGTGGACCGGATCCCCTGGTTTTGAGACATCCCACCTGGCAACTACTCGCACAGGAAGCTTGTTGTACTTTTCGCAGAACTTCAGGAGGAAAGTGTTGTACAAAGCCTCTTGCTCCTCAATGCCGTCCGGTTCTGTTTCAACTTGTGCAAGTTCGTCGATGAAGTAAGGGGCTACTTGCTGGCAGAACCGGTCAAGATATGGCACTCCGTACGGCAAACCTTCCTCCCAAAGCTGAAGCAAGGCCTCGCACTGTGTTCTGGACATGCTGGCAATGTGGGCTGCGATTGTATCCTCGGAAATGAACGAAGTCCGTCGTTGCACGGCCATCTGCGCGAAGGGTGCCAGTGAATTCCCTGAGCTGGTCGCCCGTTCACGGATGTTTGCAAGCCGCTCAGAGGAGATATCCTCAAACGGAGTGAATGGGACCGAGTCGAATGTTGGGGAACCAACAAGGTTAGCCACAACCGTCACGGCATCGCCATCCAAAATTCCATATTGCTTCAACGTCTTGCAGTTTAGGCTCATACGCCATGTGCCGCGGCCTTTAAACAGATCCAGGTTTCTATGGTCAGTCCGGTGTAGAGCTCGGACCCGCAGGGGAAGGCAGCGCTTGACCTCCAGTATGGTATCATCCTGCCTGACCATCAGTGGGGTTGAATCGCCAGAGGGGAGGAATAAGTGGATGGTGATGTGTTCCTCCTGATGCCCCTCATGATCCTGAGCTTTGCTTCGCTCCTTCTCGCTGGCCGCTGCGCAAGTCCTGGGTTACGAATGCAACCATAATGGAAAACCTCTGAGCTTCTCAAACGGGCCCCCTGAGGACCCCAAAGGACTATGTCGGGACTATGAGGGGGACCTGAGAAATACCCACATTACCGTAGGTCAATCAAGTACCCATCATGTAGCCCATAATCCCGCAGGAACTCGTTGCTTGCTAGCAGTTACGCCCTCAATCACCCGAGCCCTAAGCCTTGAACCCAACAATGACTCACAGAGTGAGAGTAGGGGTTCCCCTACACCCCAACATCAGGGCAGGAATCCCCGAAAGTGATTACCAAGGTAATCATCGGATACTAAACACCTTGCCAACCTCTGCTAATTTGTAATGTGTCCTCTAGGAGACCTTATACGGTTACATATCGGAGGATGTATTTGAGACAGGCATGAGGGTGGTACGAACCGGAGGAAAGGATTGCTCAGACTGGCTAAGGTATCAGCCCAAAGAGGCCGGTTTGGGATTGTTCTCTATGCAACCCATGCAACCCATAATTTTGTGTGAGCCCATGTGAGCCCTGAATCCTAATTAAGCCCAAACCCAGAACATTGAACCTCAAACCCTAAACCGCGAATCCCACATCCTAAGCCCTTAGCCCTGAAACCATCCCAAACCCTGCAGCGAGGAGGTTGGCAGTAGTTTCCATTTTCTTTTCCATTATCCCAAAATAACCCCAATAAATTATAGCAGTTTCCATTTTCTTTTCCATTATCCCAATATAACCACAATAGATTATGGTAGTTTCCATTTTCTTTTCCATTATCCCAATATAACCCCAATATATTAGAGTAGTTAAGCCCTAAACCCTAAACCCAATATATTAGAGTAGTTAAGCTGAGGCTCCGAGCTTTGAAACAACCATCAACCTCAGCCCGGGAAAGCAAAAATGGCGGAGGACGCTCTGAGAGTTCCGTTGCAGCCGTGGACTGTTCCTCGGTAGCCATAGGGGGATATATGGGGCTTATATGTATATGTATATATATATAGGGGATGTATAGGGGGACATATAGGCGGATATATCTTTCTCAACCTGACTGCTATCTATAATTACACCACTAAGGCACTATAAGTCTTTAAGTCATAACCTGGCTGGTAGCAGAGTCTTCTTCTACCACGGACTGCTCCGGCTGCTGCTCTGGTGCATGATGCAATGACCCGGGCTCTTCCACCTTCAACCTCAGTTTCAGTACGGGATCCTGGGAACCCCTCCTAATGTGGACACTCAAAACCCTACACACCTAGATTATGAGGCGGCGTCAAAAAAAATTCTTTGGACTCTTTTGGTTTTTGAATTACTGTAGGGCGTCACCTATTGATTTCCACGTTTTGGGGGATCTTCTCTTTAGCATAGCTAGGATGAATTAAGCCTATAGTTTTAGGACTACCCCTTTCGATCTTGGGGATGCTTAAACAGCAACTACCGGCTAGACTAAACGAAATAAACGGTATTTGTGACCGCGACTCATATTATGTTATTTTGAAGGGCATCAAGTCTGTAGCGTCATGCCGGAGTTGTGGTATCAACAGTATCCAAGGCTAAGGGTTGTCTCTCTCCCACTAGGATGGGGCTTAGTGTTTGTAGGTATACTGGGATATGTGTGGCAAACCCATTGTCGCCATGCAATTCGATTGAGGTCTCTTCTAGCAAATATCAAAAACTAAGGGTGTGGTGTTTTTTAATTAATGTTTGTATTAAGAGAATACCATCGTTGGGCGTGGGGTTTGCATACCGCCGGCTGCTCACTAAACGTAGAAAGTGTCTGCAATCTGCCAGAAGCAACTCAATAGCCTCGTGGTCTTCAAAGGTATCCTAGGCTGAGGGTTTTGCATTTAGGGTAATATATATATATAGACCCATGATCAATAAAACCCCTCCTTTTAAGGGCCTTAATATTAGGATCTCTTTTATAATCCCTATTGAGGGGAGGGAGCTTATAAATCAGGGGTCTGGGGTAACACTTAAGTTATACCCGGTCAGGATGACTGTCCTCAAAAGGGTTTTATTCAAGGACTATTAAAACTCCAATTGCATCTTGTGGTATGTCTAAAGGGGGGAGGACCTACCGCAACAATGATGACAGGAAAAAAAAGGTGCAGAAAACCTCAACTCAAGATCTGAAAGTTTACATAAGCCCTAATTCTAAAAGGACAACCAAGCATCTTTTGCTGCGGCTCCTGGCTTCCTGTTTTTCTTCCCACAAGGCCAGCACCGAGTCATTGCAACAGGAAGAACTACGTTATGTGAAGAAGAAACAGAGACACCCCTATCAGCTGCGAGAAGCGAGAGCACAGCATCAGATCTGAAGTAACTGGCACACAGCAAAACCACAAGCAATATGGGGATTTCCAAAATAGCTGGCCCTCATATAGAACCAACTATAAAACAGTCCGTATTACCGTTACCCCCAGCAAAGGACCCCCCAACTTCCTCAAACCTTATAGCAATCGGACCCGAAACCCTAAGCCCCTAAAGCCTAGTACACCGAAAACATCATGGCCACAGCCACTTCAAAACATGCATCAGATTGGAAACCTGCAGCTCTTAGGGTTGAGGGTTTAGGGGTTTAAAGGTTTAGGGGTTTAGGTTTGAGGGGTTTAGGGGTTTAGGCTGTAGGGTTAAGATGTTAACCATGTGTTTAGGCTTTAGGGTTTAGGGTATGGCCCCTCATTTGGGACATTGTACGTCTTTGTACATACATATGGTAGTTCTCCAAAATAAGGTGACCCAAATATGGGTTGCAATATACTATCAATCCTTCAAATGGTTCCCCCCCAAAAAAGGTACCTCGAACTCGGAAACCCCCTCAGATCCGAGAAGTGCTAGACAAGCCCGTCCTTCATCAAAAATCCAGGCAGTGTCATGGTCTGAGGATGAAGGGCTACTGTGGAGATACACTGTGCAAACCCACTATCTCCAAGGGTTACTCAGAGTAACATCTGGGAAGCACAAGAAGGGAAGGCCATGTCCCGGACATGCTTACGGAGATAGAGTACAGCGTTTTCTGGCAAGGAATTAAAAGCCCACGCGCAAGTCACTAGTCCCCAATTACCTCAGCTGCTGCTGCTACTACTAACACTCCTCCTCCTCCAGAGTCTAAAGCCCTGCCCAGCCCAGGCAAGCGCGATCACGACCCCGTACTCTGCAAATACATTTTGGAAGCGCCAAGTAAAGATACCTGAAAGAATGGACGGGGCCCCTCGTAAGTTGCAGTGTGACCCGTCTTTGTTCAGAGTTACTTGAGAAGATAGCTCCATGAATCTTTCAACCCCAAGCACTCAACCTAAACCTTGAACCCAAAGCCCTTCACCCAACCATGCGGGGGAATCCACCTCGACAAGTGTCGATGCGCTGCTGCAGCCGCTGCGTAGCTTGCTTGTGTAGCGTCCTCTATCCCTACAGGAGCCAGCCATAAACTTAACCACCCCGAGGAGCTCCGAGATCCGTCAAACTTTTTGGGAAATCTTCCTTGCCCAGGCACACCTAGTGTTGGCTTGACAGCCAACATTTAGCCGAGGCCCCTCAAAAGCATCGAAGCAATTATTCTCCTGACCTGATCTGAAAATCTAGGAGTGCGCAGCCTGCTCACCCAAGGTGCTTGAAGGTGTGGTTGGAGCTTCGCCCTCGCCCCTACATCCAACATCCTAGACTCTCAACCCTGGACCTAACATCCCACCTCATCACCTGGAGCCCCCAAAACCCCAAACATAGCACCCTGTTGACCAAACCAAAGCCTCTGGCGGGTCCTACACCCACTAGTAGTGACGAACAGAAATGCTGGTGATTTTTTTAGGGCCCTCTATAGGGGACTATATAGGGATCCCATTAATAGGGGTCATATAGGGATAATGGAAAAGAAAATGGAAGCTACTATTTAGGGCTTAGGGTCCTATCCTACCAGAATTGGGGGGCGATAAGATGACCAGTACACGAGAAGCCTTGGTCCCGGGCGCTTAGCTTGCCATAGCTTGGCTCCCAAGATCTGCAAGTAAAGCCATATGGGGATTTCCCAAAATTAGGGTACCTTTTTGGGGGTCCTTATAATAAAGATTATCGTGTTTGGGGGTCTATATTGGGCCCCCCTATTTTGGGAAATTACCATATGGGTGTTTCCGACTAAACCGTGGTCATAAAAGCATGTTTGGATTGGGGTATGTTTCGGGGGTATGTTTCGGTGTATGTTTCGGGGTATGTTGTGGGGTATGTTTCGAGGTATGCTTCAGGGTATGTTTTGCAGTGCTGGGCTCTTGATGACAGGGACGTTCTGGCGGTATGCATCGGGGTATGTATCCAGGTATGTATCGAGGTATGCATCGGGGTATGTATCGGAGGGGTCAAAGATGCGCCCTTTCATGAATTCCTGACGCACCATTTGTGGAAACAGCCATATGGAATTTTTCCAACAATTAGGGGTCCTCCGTCGAGGGGCCGGTAGAATGAGCATTATCATACTTGGGAGCCTGTATATACTCCTCCTTAATTAGATAGATAGAATATGGGTTTGGGTATATCATTATAAGATCCCCATATACCCCATGTTCTTCTATCTACGTAATAGGGCCTACAATTGTGTAAATGAGGAAAATCTATACGATCCGTTGCAAAGTGACTGGATCATGAGGCCTCACGGGGTTGGGAAGGCCCAGCATGAGGGCATGATGTTCGGGGATACATACATACACATGCGCATGCATACATATATATGTGTGTGTTAATATGTATTACAACCACCCGCAAGCCAGCGCGCACAGAAAAGGGAAAAAAAAGGACCCTTGAGCCCCAAAAAAACCAGCTATACAGGCGCGTAGGGGCTTCCCAAACCGACCTAGGTATTGTGGCACCAGGGATGGGCGTTCGTTGCTATAAGGATTA